CCAATTGTACAATTTAAAGTCTGGGAGAGATAGTCCTCCATCTTTCCTTTCACGCTGCATCGTCTGAATCTTAATCCGAGGTCTTTTGCCATTCCAAACATATTTCATGATAGCCGCTTGTAGTTTGACCCAATATTGCCGGGGAGGAGGTAGTGAGATCATCGAGCTGATGAAGTTTACCCGTAGCAAAATATTAATTTTAATGACTGAGACTCGGCTGCGTAGTAATTTTTTTAATTTAGCCAATATTGTGTATCTGGAAAGAATTTTAGATCTTTTGACAAATCAGAGCAGAAATGTTGCGTTTATATTTTTGTTGAGTGTGTGTGTGTGTGTGTGTGTGTGTGTGTGTGTATATATATATATATATATATATATATATATATATATACACAATTCTTTTCCTGGTGTCCTTCGAAAGATCTTTGGTCTTGGCCATAGTGGAGTTTGGAGTCTGACTGTTTGAACTCATTATCTGTATAAAAGACACCTGTCCACAGCCTCAAACAGGTGCCATTAATACAGGTAACGAGTGGAGGACAGAAAAGCTTCTTAAAGAAGACGTTACAGGTCTGTGAGAGCCAGAGATTTTCCTTGTTTGAAGTGACCAAATACTTATTTTCCACACTGATTTACAAATAAATTCTTTAAAAATCCTGCCATGTGAATTCATGGATTTTTTTCACATTCTGTCTCTCACAGTTGAAGTGTACCTATGATGTAAATTACTGACCTCTGTCATCATTTTAAGTGGGAGAACTTGCACAATCGGTGGCTGACTAAATACTTTTTTGCCCCACTGTATGTTATTAGTGTAGCTGCCCAGTATCCAGGACTATTGGAAACAAAACAATGTTTTGTCTGTGCCCCTTCCAAACAAACTCACGTCAAGAGACAGGTTCCGTTCAATATTTTGGAACATCCACATTAGAGATCCTGAGGAAGATGTAGAACAGGGATTCCCAAAGTGTGGTGCGCGCACCCCCGGGGGTGCGCGAGCTGCCGCTAGGGGGTGCGCGAGTTGAAAATTGTAATGGCTGCGGAGCTCAGAGAAGTCTGTCAGATGTCATGATTAGCGTAGCCAGAAACTCATTTGTGGGTGGGCCTAAGAAAAAGTAAGTGGGCACAATAAATGTAATTGAAAACCAGTATATTTTTGCGCTTGTGTCCTCCACATGTGCCCTAGCTTCATAATAATAATGCGCCGAGCTTCAGCACTCTGGCCTGTGCACGCCGATATGTTCCGTATTTGATCATTTTTAACGGTGTTGGAGGAATTTGAAGGTGAGTCATTCTGGCAGATTGTAATTAACACCCTGTCTCAGGCAAGTGTTCTGACATTGTAAACCTCACACACAGAACATTGTGGATGTAACAAAATAAATCAAGAAATGATTCCCATTCAGGCTATTAACAGCGCGCTGTAGATCTGAAGTTCAGAGTGCGTCTGTCAGAGGTCAGACGCGTTCCAGCGGAACCACGGCTCACGGGTGCACAAGTGAGCACATCTGGGCTGGGCAGAAGTAATTTTACAACATTGGTTTAAATAGCGCCAATAACGAGACGCGGTGACTTAAACGCTGCAAGTTGTGAAGCGCGCTCCATCCGCGAGCCGCATCACCAAGCGGAAAGTGAATGCGTCAAGCATAAACCAAGCTCCATGGAGCTGTGTCGCGTGCACACACACACACACACACACAGATTCAATAAGCGCGCACGCTGCGCAAACTCCGGCGCGCCGTCAGACTGAGGGCAAAAATGAGCACTGCCTCCTCTGTGATAAAAACTTTTAAGAGGTTTTATAACAACATTTTTCATTCAAGGTCAAATTAAGATATTAGCTTCTATTTTGGGATGACGTATTAAAGTCGGGTCCGCTCCAGCCAGTGACTCCTCATGAACCGGACCTTCATCTTGCACCATGAGCTGTGCAGTGCCAAACAGGAGCAGGCCATGACACACAAAGACTTCATGGTGGAGCTAATGTGTCAGCTTTTTGACATGAGCAAGGCGGGTACTCCCCAAAGCAGGAAAGCTGATTATGTTCCTGTGCCCATTTCCAAAGCCACAGATGTTGCCCTAACATACACCAAAGGCAGACTAAAATGTAAATACTGCCTCCTTGACAAATAAACACCCCATGGAAGTGCCAGGCCTGCGATGTTGCCCCTCTGCATTGTGGTGGGCAGAAACTGCTTCTTTGAGTGGCACAAATAATCCTCATATTATTGAGGAGAAAACCCCTTATCCTTTTGTAAATATTTGTAAACATTTGTTCAAATACTGCTAAATAATTAACAACATTGTAATTTATTTTGGCACAATCTTTAATTTTTTTGGTATCTTTTTGGACCAGTGTAAATAGTTGTACAAGCACGATTGTAAAGTTTATTTAATTTTTCTGCTAATAGTTTTATGAAATCGTGTTGTTTGCTATATTTTTATGTTTTTTTTAAATACACTGGCATTCTAAATTATAAAAAAAGATTCATTATAAATGTTTACAGGATTTACAGTAAAAAAAAGAACTTTTTTCCAACTTGGATTTCATGTTTTTGTGTGATTTAAGATCCAAAATGCATGTACATTATTGCCAAATTAATGAAATAAGCATTAATTCAGATAGTCCAGGTTGTCCTGAAAAAAAATGATACCCCATAAGGCAATATTTCTAGTATTATAAACTACACCCCAGTTATTACAATATTCACCTCCACCCTCCAGGACCCTCTGCAGTTCGCATACAGAGCCAACAGGTCTGTAGACGACGCCATCAACCTGGCCCTCCACTTCATCCTGCAGCACCTGGACTCCCCGGGAACCTACGCTAGGATCCTGTTTGTGGATTTCAGCTCTGCGTTCAACACCATCCTCCCTGCTCTGCTCCAGGACAAGCTCTCCATGCTCAACGTACCCAATTCCACCTGCAGGTGGATCACTGACTTCCTGACGAACCGTAGGCAGTGTGTGCGGCTGGGGAAGAATGTTTCCACCACTCAGACAATTAGCACAGGATCTCCACAGGGCTGTGTACTTTCTCCTCTGCTCTTCTCCCTGTACACAAACTGCTGCACCTCGAGCATAGGTGTCATTTTAACCGGGGACGCCGGGGACATGTCCCCGGCAAAATTTGTGATTGGCAACTGTGTCCCCCCCACTTTCAAAAAAGCCTGCTGATGAGGATTTTTGTTTTACCAGCTCAGATCTTATACCAGGGGTCGGCAACCTGTTCCCATCAAAGAGCCATTATTACCCATTTCCCACGGTAATTTTGGACAAACCTTAATAGCAGTGACTTAAAGGGACTATAGGCAAGTTTTACAGCCAGAACATGTATAGAAATAAAACATTTCTTCTTAAAACATTCTCCTGCAATGCCCTGGTTCTGTAGAATGAGCCCTGGCATTTTACTGTGATTGTCTCTATAGGTCTTTAAAATCAAAAATAAGATTTTGCTCGGGTCCAGCAGGCAGGCTTCCCCCGGGTCTTCCAGAGGCAGCGTAATGCGTGATGACGTCATGCGCGTTCACGCTCAGGCCTATCCCCGCAGCGTTTGATTACTAGCGATAGCTTGGCGGCAGAGCGAGAGGTGGTTTAGCTAGCATGGATTCAGCAAAGAACAAGAAGAGAGCTGCTTCAAGCACTAGCGGAACTCCAGCCCAGACCCCAAACAAGTCAAAGAAACCAAGAAGAGTGTATTCCAGCGCAGGTAAACGGGCAAAACTCGAGTATGATCGCCGAAGGCAACGAACGAGGATAAATATCGGTCCAGCATTTGAGGAGTGGAAAATGCTGAGAAAGTCTCTCAGGATGAAAACACACCCGCAGCTGGCATCATTTTTGCTGAAAAGGTAAGAAATTATTACTAAACACGTGTGGGGAAAGGGCTGTGGATGCTTTCAAAGTAAGCTGGGGGGTTTCCGTATATCATAACATTTATAGGCTGCTTGTCTAGCGTCTACACATCAGATTACCTATTTCCAGCCGCATCAGCAAAAAAAAAAAAAGTGTTTTCTACACACCAGCACCCAAATACAAGCTGGCGCACAGCGCATGTTTGGCCATAACACAAGATAATTAGACAGAAAGACGCTACACGGAATTTTTTCGTTGTTGTTTTAATTCACAAAAACGAATTTTAAACACGGGTGAACGTGCCTGCAAGTTTAGAGCCGCACCATGATATTTGCTGCAGGCTTCAAAGCACAGGGAAATAATAGTGGCTTTTAGGCTGGAAATTACAGTATATTGTTAGTGTAATGTACTAGAATTGTGTAAAAGAAGTCTAAACTTTGTAAAACTGCGTCGCTAATCAAATCTGTTGTTTATATAACAGAATCTCAATTGTTAACGTGTACACATGACTGGAGTATTAAAAGTTGCTTTACTTTTTTAGTTATGAGAAGCACGCTTCATCAAAGGGACCACTTACATCAACACCACGTGGGCCATCTGCAGCAGTGTTTGCAGGTCCTTGTCGCCCCAGTTCAGTAACTGCAGGGGAATCTGATAGGTAAGTTCACTTGTAAACAAAATGCAACTCATATGTCAGATAATTGTTCTCCACATCAAATAAAATAAATACTGTGTACTTGTCAACAGGGATGACTTCCAGATCGCAGGAGTTGAACCTCTAAAAGCAGATCAAGAGGTAGAATTGTTGGAGGAAAGGTAAATATGCAGGGTTTTTAATCATTTGATGCATACCCTCTGTTTTCATAATTAATGTATTCTGTTTGTTTTTGTAGCATCAAATAGATGGAGCTGAAAGTGGATTATCTAGACGAGGAAAGAGCCAATAGTTTGGAAAACAGTTTGTAAGTAACAAATTATTGTCATTGAAATGATATATGTCAGTATATATTGTCATATTTTGCTGCTGTATTTAATTCCAGATTAGAGTTTGAAGGAGAAGGAGCTTTAGACCCGTATGACTCAGATTATGTACCTCCAATATCGATAAGGTATGTTTCATAATTGAATTTTTTAAATAAGTAGTAACATCCCCACTCTCACTTTCTATTCACTGATTATATATATAAAAAAATCTTGTGCAATAGGTGTGTCTCACAGGATGAAGTTGACCAACTTCCTAGCATTGGCCTGGATGAAGCTGTATTTGACATTGCTGATTGTGTGGAGGCAGATTTTGAAGAGAATTTAGAAGCACCATCAGCAGCATCCATTCCAGTTTTCCCAATACACGATCAAGTGCTTGTTGAAAGTGACCTCATAAACCAGCAAGCGTGCATAGCATACAGCAAAAGCTTGCTCCAGATGGCCAATTTCCTCCAACTGCCTCTCAGTAAATGCCACTACAGTGACCACAGCACAGGCACATATTGTGATGGCCATCCTCCTTTTCATGTAAAGTCACGTCCGAGAGGTACAGCTTTGATAATTGAGTGGGTGAGTTTATGTTCTAATGCTTGCCACTTATGTTAATGAGGAAGCAGTACAACTGTAGGAATGTGAAATATGTGTGAAGCGCCATTTCCACTTTTTTTTGGTTTTGTTTGTATTTTAATACAGTTTTGCCCACGTGGACATAAATTATGGAGTTGGAACAGCCAGCCAAAGCTGAAATATGGGATGCAAGGAGGAGATTTCATGTTGTCAACAAACATTCTGCTGTCAGGGAACAACCTCCAAGATCGCTCTCCTGTTCAGATTCATGAATATCCGCATGGTGACATCCAAAACCTTCTACTCAGTCCAGGGTACCTACTGTTTAAAATCAATACAGCAGTTTTGGGAGGAGAAGAGAAATGCCATCATCAAGAAACTGCAGTCAAAAGACCGCGTGGTTGCTCTTGGTAACTAAATATGTTTACTTGTAAAGGCTCATATTCATTACATGCTTATATTTCTGTGTTTCTTTTTTAGCTGACAGGAGGATGGACTCTCCAGGTAACGAACAAGCTTTTTGAAATTTAATTTTAAGATCAGTTGAAATATTTCTTTTCATTGTTATTTTACAATTTTCTGTATCTCTTAAAAAAAAAGTCACTCAGCAATGTGCTGTACATACACAACGATGGATCTAGACACCATGGACATCATCAGTGTTGTCAATGTGGACAAAAGATGGGTTGGCTATAAAAGTGGGGTCATGGAGAAGGCTGCCTTTATACAGACATTTGACAGTCTCACAAAGGAGGTGAACATCAAGGAGATTGTGACTGATGCCCATGTACAAATTGCTGCCCTCATGCGTAAGATTTTCACAAAACTTCAGAGTTTTTACTGGTAATTGGAAACCAGATTGTTAAAAGACTATTTTTAATTTTTTCTGACCAGATCCAGAAAGGGGCAGATATAAGGATCAGGCTATTACCCATTCGCTTGATGTCTGGCACGCCGCAAAAAATCTGACAAAGAAACTTCATGCTGTATGTCAAAATGTATTATGATGGTAATAATCCTGGCTTGTTCAGACTTTATTTTAATTACTAGTTTTTCTTGCCTTCAAACAGGTTGGAATGATTTCTGGTCAAAAGCTTATACTTGGATGGATCAAGGACATTGTTAACCATTTTTGGTATGCTTGTCAGCACACAAGCACCAGAGAAGAGTTTATGGTTTGTACAAACACAGTATTCATGTATACAGTCGTCCACTAATGTAATGTTTTTGTTTATATTTGCTGCCATGGTTCATTATCTTTTTCTACTCACGATGTAAATGTTTGTATTTTCTACTTTGTGTGTTTTTAGGATGTCTGGAAGGGTGTACTTCACCACGTGACTGGAGAGCATGAATGGGGCTTTGGCAGGTGCTTTCATGCTCCTTTGGCGGAGAACCCAGACAAAGAGCTCATTCCACATGGATCTGCTGCACATGTGGCGCTTTCACGGATTGTTCTGAACCAGCGATGGCTAAAGGATATAGAGAAGTTGCTCACCTTTAGGTAAATTACTGACATTTGGTGGAAATGTAAAGTTATTGTCTTACTAACAGTAAAACAAAATAGGAAAACAACAATGCAGATTTTTTCTAACTAATACAATCTCTGCACTTGGATCTGAGTTCTTTCCAATAACAAGTACCATAACAGTTACTTATACCACACCAAACAATGCAATGAAGCAGAAGACCGGTTTTATTGTCTTCTCTGCCTGGTGCTACAATTGAAGTAGATTTGGATAAAATGTAAAACACAAATAAACAACCACTAATATGAAATTTTATCTGAAAATTAATATTTTAGATGAAAAAACTGCTGTTTCTACATTTTTAGTATTGGTTCTTGTTATCTGTAAACTACACACATGAGGACATTAGATTGGTATTGCCCTGATTCCAGTATCTGTAATGTTGTAATACCTACCACAAAGTATATTATATTGCGCTGAGTTAGAATTTATTTCTTCTACAGACATTGTTTTTTTCCCCCAGGACCACTGCTGAGCTGGAGTCGTTCCAAAATCACATCTTGATGTACGCCGGGAAACGCTTTGCATTCTCATTTGGTGTCTATGAAGCTAGGACACTCCTCGCTGCATTAGACTACAACCACCATAACCATCGCCCAGTGCATGTGAACATCAAAGGCCAAGTATCGTAAGTCAAACTTGGTGGCTTTTATATATTCATAATACCTTTATATAATTTCCTAATGTCTAAATTCATTTTTTTAGACACAAACGAGTCTACAACAAAAAGTCGCAGCGTTACAGTGTTCACACTGTAAAGGAGACCAAAGACTACGGCTACATCCCAGAGCTGCAGACAAGAATCCTGGAGAAGCGCCTCAGCTCTGCTGGGGGACTCCCAAAAAGAAGAAGCATTCAGGCTGATGACCCCAGGGCCCTGGGTCCTCTCTCCGGGATCAGCCCTCCTCCTACAGCTGAACTGGTACAGACACAACAACGCAGAGGACAGGTAGTGATTATAACCAAATCTCCTCTCCATTTTTGTGGAAGAAAATTACATAAATGTAATTTTTGTTTTTTACAGGACTTATGTGATACCTAAACAGAGGCTGATGGCAATCAAAGTTGAACACTACAGATTTATTTATGTAAATATGTACAAAAAGTTTGCAACAACAATAAAAGTAAGTCAAACTTCTGAGTTGGTCATGAGTTGCATGTTTGTTTCAGCGGAAGGGGGCTTCTTTATAACCAACATAAATCCCAAAGTGGTCAGGGTATTTGTCTCTAATCCTCCAAACACAGCAGGAAGGAATCACCCTACGATTGCCAGCGCCAAGACGTCCATATTGCCAAATAGTGTACTGTCTATAGGCACAGTAACGGTACTCCCGATTATCTGATCCAGGGTCTTGGCTATCACGCAGAGCCAAAATGTCATTCCACGTCTGCCGAGCCAAACGCATGATGCCTTCATCCATGCAGTACAGGTTAAAATGAGCACGCCTGCTCAAACACCATTCTGGATCCTGTCTACAGCACTTGTTTTCCAGGTCTGTAGGCATCATTCGGCAGTAGGAGCAGGTGCACCAAGCTGGCTGACCCTGGTTTGATGGAGGGTGTCCTGGTGTGGCCTGTCTATAGTCCATAATGTCCAGTAACACTCCTGGCAGACGTCTAACAACCATCTGAAGGACTTCATCTTTTTCATCCATACTTAGGTGTTGCAACTGTGCCTGAAAACGAAAGGCAGCATTTATTTTATAAACTTTATGATTGTGAAATGTATTAGTGTTCTGCATTATGACCAACCTGTAACTCTGCAGTTCTGTCAGCAGACATCTGAGCAACCCGTTCTCTGTCTTCCTCACTAATGCGTCCAGCTCTAGCTCTTCTTCCTCTAGCCTGGCCTCTCCCCCGGCCTGTACTTTCATATATGTTTCTCCCTCTGGCTGCTCCTCTCCTTGTTCCTCTTCCTGCTCTTCTGCCTGCTCCTCTGCCTGCTCTCCCTCTGCCCCCTCCAGAATCACTACTCTCTTCAGAAACTTCGGAGTAATGAGATGCACTGGATTCCTTGAAGGAAAAGTAATAAGGTTTACACGTTGATGTGATGGAATGCATGTTTTACAAAAGCTTCGCTGTAATAATCCATAAAACATTTAGGTAATGGTGTATTTACATTTGATGAAAATAATGTTGCTAAGACTATCTTTACCTGGATGCAAAAGAAAAGCAGAGGTGGGTAGAGTACACAAAAGGTGCACTCAAGTTATAGTAGCAGTACCTCTATGTATTTTTACTCTAGTAAAAGAAAAAAAGTAGCAGTCCATCACATGATTTTTTTTCTAGTAAATGGCCTGTACTTGTCAAGTAGCAACCAGTAAAGTGCTTATTAACTACCAGTGCAATTATTTTAATATTACAATAGGGCCTACGTTTATGCATAATTTGTGTACTAGTATTTTTTTCAACATCATACATAATGTATTCATATATCGGTATTATTATGCTTCCTCACTCAACTCACTTTGCTGTGCATGCACCTATCACAACCTGGAAAATATGCAGCCCAAATTGATTTGGTCTAAATATTTTACAATTATTACCTCTGTCGAAGTCATGCCGGCAAACCTGTAAATTATACCGGTACGGGGCTGACGCAGCTGTTTTTGTTCGGGAGCGTGCACATATAGCACGCGCGCCTCGTGCACGAGCCTACTATTGAAGCTGCAGTTACACCTTTGGCCTGAGGGGGCAATAGCGAGCATAAAATTTCAAAACTGCCTAAGGCACCTTTAAGTGAAGCAGGCAGGTCGCGCTAGAAATTTTCGTTTAAAAAGACATCATAAATGTTTTCCCCCGTCATTTTTATTTATAAAATATGAAGTAAAAACTCACAATTTGATTTTTATTCATTTGTCATTAATATGTAGTCTACAACCGTGCGTTAAGTGGACCATCTTCCAGTAAAAGCAAAGCATCCAGTCCACCTCTCCAAATGCGTAAAATGTGCATCACAGCCGCTAGGCGCGCCGCGCGCACCGTCAGCTACGTCAGCCCAGACAAGAGCAGAGCAACTAGAGAAAGAATAGAGGATAATTCTGTCTGGATGTGGATGGAGATTACATTTTACAGCAGCCTGATCATCATTTAAATACGTAACCCATCACCTGTCTTCTAGTCCACGCTATCAGCATTGTTTTAATTGGTGTGTGTGTGTGTGTGTGTGTGTGTGTGTGTGTGTGTGTGTGTGTGTGTGTGTGTGTTTTCCACTTCAAACACTGGTCTAACCAACCAGACCAGCGTGTCCAGTAACATTAATGTTACAATTAAACAATTTCACTTCATGTAGGCTAGGAACATTTCACCTGCCGTACGGCCCGACCGCTTCTGCTCCACATAAACTTTGTGCGTGATCAAATGTCTCTACAGGAGCTTTATGAGCTGAAGAGGCTATTCTGCCTCAGACTGGATGCGTCATGCGTCTCCATATTAGAGAAGGGAACAAGCGCTGTTCAGCCAAAGTTTCATAATTTCATAAAAAGAACATTTTTCCAAGTGACACATCCCTCAGAGAGACTGGGTTTCCAGACCGCTTCAGTGGGAGGAAATCTTATCGCATGCACCGTGGTTCTGCACTGCGCTGCGAACCCCTCTACAGATCTTCATCTCACTGTACACCGTGGGCGCTCCGAGTCGCCCTGAACACAGTGTCCAGTATAAAGCTCTGATGTTCTGATGGGAATCATTTCTTGATGGATTTACTTACCTCCGCGATGTGAGTAACGATTAAAATGTCAGCTCATCTGTGTGCACATCAGTGCGCGTCGGGGTAATTCTTTCAAAACAACCAACATCCTTGGGTTTATCCGTCAAAATAAAAGTCAAATGGAAATATCTGTAAGCTGCCATTTAACTGTTTTGCCTTCCTGTGAAGATTGTTGCAAAGAGAAACAATTAAACTTGATTAACCCCAGAGCCACGCGTACTAAGCTGTACTTCGTGACTGTAAATGAGGGGGAAAAGATTTAATCGGATCCTTTTCTTTTCGACATGGTTTAATGTAAAGTTTCATTCAGTACAAACTTTAGTTGCACCAATCTAATGAGACAGAGCCTGGATTTGTATTCTGAACAGTTTAAACATGTTTAAAACAGAGACATGCGTGACACTTCTAAAATTCACACCTGCTCCGCTATTATGGAAATTAAACTAACAAGATGAATAACATCAAATTATTTTAGGCACAGACAACGTCCCCCACACTTTTGAAAAGCTTGCAACGCGCCTGGTCGCTCGTTTACGTCAAAGTTATCTTTCATAAGACGATGATCAATAAAACAATTTATATAAAATGGATCCAGAAGTTGTAGCCCGTCTCTGCCTTCAATTTTTGGTATTTTTCACCCTGTTGGTGGTTTTACTGAGCAGGTGCCACTTTTGTCATACGTTTCTTTTTAAAATATGTTTAGACTGTTCAGAATACAAATCCAGGCTCTGTCACGTTTGATTGTTGTAATTAAACTTTGTAGGTGGGGAAGGTCAGAAAAGGATCCGATCAATTTGTTTTTCCCTCATTTACAGTGACGGAGATAACAGCGCGGTACGCCTGGCTCTGGTGTTAATCAAGTTTAATTATATCTCTTTGCAACAATTTTCACAAGAAATCAAAACAGTTAAAAGCAGGGCTTGCATTGACTGGATAGTTCCCGTATTTGACCATTTATTTTGACGGAGAAAGAATAGAAAGAATTACCCCGACGCATGCAGACGAACTGACATTTTATTCCACTTAAATCGCAGATGTAGCTAAATCACTCAAGAAAAGATTCCCATCTGAACATCTGAGCTGGACACTGCTCAGCGCAGCTCACTGTCAGCGTGTACTACATAAGGTCCACAGCGAGCTGAAGATGTGGAGAGGGGCTTGGAGCGCATCGCAGAACCAGAGCGCATGCGGGAAGATTCCTCCGACTGAAGCGAGACTTGTCACTTAGAAAATGTTCCCTGATTATGAAACTTTGGCTGAATAGCGCTTGTTCCTGTCTCCAATGTGGCGACACATCAAGGAGCCGTCTGAGGAGAAGCCCAGAATCTCACATCCTCGTCAGCTCAGAATGCGCCCATGATTACGCACAAGCGTGACGCGTCAACCCGGTCTCACAGTAAGACCGGGTTGGACCTGTTCAGGTTTACGGAGACAATCTTTACATTCAGAATCAGCTTACAGATGTAAAATTAATGCAGTAAAATCTAAAGCATTTTATTTAAATATCCATTCATTATTTTACAAGCACAGAGAGCCGCATCAGATGGATGGAAGAGCCACATGCGGCTCCAGAGCCGCGGTTTGCCGACCCCTGTGCTAGCCTACTTTACTGTCCCCAGCAATTTTTAAACCCCACTCAAGTGTATGGTTATTGTCCCCAGCAATTCTGAAAACAAACTGACGCCCTTGACCTCGAGCCATGACTCTGTTAAACTGATCAAGTTTGCGGACGACACCACCCTCATCGGGCTCATCTCTGACGATGATGAGTCCGCCTCCAGGAGGGAGGTGGAACGGCTGGTGTACTGGTGCAGCAGCAACAACCTGGAGCTCAATGCTCAGAAGACAGTGGAGATGATTGTGGACTTCAGGAAAGTCACAGCCCCATCTCTCCCCCTCGTCCTGACGGACACCCCCGTCACCACTGTGGACTCCTTCTGCTTCCTCGGAACCACCATCACACATGACCTTAGGTGGGAGCCATCCAACAGCTCCCTGCTCAAAAAGGCCCAGCAGAGGATGTACTTTCTGCGGCAGTTGAAAAAGGCCAAGCTGCCGGCCCAGATGATGGTGCAGTTTTACATGGCCATCATTGAGTCCATCCTCACCTCCTCCATCGCTGTGTGGTACGCTGGAGCCACAGTGAGGGACAAACATAGACTGCAGCGCATTGTGCGCTCTGCTGAGAAGGTGATTGGCTGCAGCCTTCCATCTCTCCATGACCTGTACGTCTCCACAACTCGGGGCGTGCAGGTCGGATAGCAGCTGACCCTTCGCACCCGTGTCACAGACTTTTTGAGCCGCTCCCCTCAGGCAGGAGGTTACGGTCCATCCGGACCAGAACCTCCCACCATAAGAACAGCTTCTTTCCATCTGCCGTTAGTCTTGTGAACAGATTATAAACACACAACCATGCTGGTCTTCTGTACTCGACACAACGTCACGTTATCGGCCATGTTACCATTACCTGCCATTTTTTATAGCTGAAAGTTTTATTCTAGTTTTTTTATTATATTTTATTCTATTTTTAATCTTATTATTCATGTTATATGTAGCACATTAGTACCGAAGCAAGTTCCTAGTTTGTGAATTGTTTGTTCACTGACAATGGCAATAAACCAATTCTGATTCTGATTCTGATTTATTGTTTTTATTAGAAAATACAGAAGAAAAACCAAAATGAGTCAAAAATGGTGATTGAAACCCTGGACCCCAGAGGGCTAATATTTTTTTTTTAATTTTGTTATTTGCTATATTTATTCATATTGTTATAAATGTACAGTCTAGATTACCATTCTAAATTATAGACAACATTCATCATAAATGTTTGTTGGTTTCACATAACTTTTTTTCCAGTTTGGATTTTATGTTTTTGAGTGATTTAAGGTCTAATATGCAACCCCTTTATGTCCAAATATAAAAAAAATAAGTATAAATTCATTAAGTCTAGGTTGTGCTGAAAAGGTTGATACCACATAAGGCAGTGGTTATGATTTTTATTTTGGAAATACAAAGGAAAATTCTAAATTGGTCAAAAACGGCAAATTGCACCCTGGACCCCAGAGGGTTAACACACATTGCTTGCTGGTGGTGGCCCAGCAGACCTCGCCTGCTAGGGGCAGCTGTTGCTACTTTGTAGCTCAACACCATCAGTGTGTGAAAGTGTGTGTGAATGGGTGAATGATTGATTGTGCTGTGAAGTGCCTTGAGGGGTTGGAGAACGCTAAGAAGGGGCTATACAAATATGGCCATAAGGCCATTTACCATTTATTAATGTCATTTATTAAAGTAATTTGTTAATGGTAATTAACCCTAACCAAGAATACAAAACAGCTTACAAAAATACAGTCAGTGACAGCAGTCTCCAACAAGCATCACCACAACCAAGCAATGCAGGTAACTATATTTTATTGCAGCCATTGTATTTTAAATGGCTTAGTGGTCGGAATGAGTTTCAGTCACATCGGATTGGAGGCAATAGTTTGATTTTGGATATTATCTTGTCCAAAAAGCAAACTTTTGAATACTCATCTCACTACAGGTCTCAATAGATTCACTGGAGGATTAAGAGGTCACCTGTTAAATAAAGGCATGCCATTCAAACCTCCACGCTTTCAGTGAACAATAGGAAAGGCAGGGTGTTTGTTTTAGGTTTATAATGAAGTCGGCTTATTGTTATCTGCCCCTGACTAATATGTAACTTTGCATTCTACGCAACATCTACAAAGGACTGCTGAATGTGACTTCATCACAGGATTTGGTTTGTTTGTTGCTACAGTTCTAAAATGTATTTCTGTCACATCCTATATCTTCAGGCAGATAAATCGAAGCAAATAGGAGTCGGCTTGATTAAAGCAACGAGCGTTCGCCAGTGAGGTTCTGCTTTTCATAAATTGGAATCAAGCTGAAAAGATAAAGTGTCTTTTTTGTGGATGGAAAAAGCTGTGAAGACTGTCTTTCATCATTTATTTAAAAATATATGAATAAAATAATAATTTTCTTCGTTTTCTAAGAGGAGAAGGAACCATGCCTCAATTACAAAAACCACCCTGCAGTCTGTCAGAGGTATGGTGGCAAATGTCAGACGATAGCAATTGCCTTCTTTAAACAGAACAAACAGACATCTCTAAAACCCCACTCTCATGTTTTTTAAACTATTTTAGCTATGATTCATCATCATTAGAAACAAAGGGTGCGACATATTTAATAAATGACCTGCACTTGTCCCACAATCATTCATTCATTCACACACACACACATACACACACACACATTCACAAACTGATGGCAATGACCTACAATGTATTGTACACAATGTATGCACACACCTGCTGGGGCACAGTGACCGAGGCGAGGCACACACAGGCTCCCCTCCTATCACAAACAGGCAAGGGGGAGTGACATGACTGCTGGAACCTGGATTCAAACGTTTTATGTATTTTATTAGGGTGAGGAGCTCGGACATTCGGGAGGGACTCGGAGTAGAACCGCTGCTCCTCCGGATCGAAAGGAGTCAGTTGAGGTAGTTTGGGCATCTGGTCAAAATGCCTCCTGGACGCCTCCCTGGGGAGGTGTTTCGGGCATGTCCTGCCGGCAGGAGGCCCCCGGGTTGACCCAGGACATGTTGGAGAGGTTACATCTCCAATCTGGTCCGGGAGCGCCTTGGGGTCCTGCCAGAGGAGCTGGTGGAGGTGGCCGGGGAGCAGGGGCGGCATTAGGCCCGGCTACTTGGGCTGAAGCCCCGGATGTTTTATGAAAAGCCCCGGATCTAAATCGCGGAAGTAACATGCAGTACCAAAGTCCAACACTAGGGAGCAGCTGGCAGTAGTTTGTATACAGCCTGCCTGAGCCTCCACCACTGAAGAAAAAGCCCTTCAGCAGCTGGCTTCTTCTACACTCTGCCTGAAACGCATGAGTGAAGATGGACATAAGGACGTTTTTAGACCAAAAGTACCGCGACAGAACCCCAGCTTTGATGAGACTGGTGTTGACTCAGGTTTGTGAGTCTTATTTGAAAATATTTGTTGTGCTGCTGGTTTGCCTAAAGTTAGCTTATCAGGTAAAGTTGTTGGAGAAAGAAAGGGAATATTTACTATCATCTCACACTAAACACTAACAGGAACAATACTCTGCCCTGAAAATGCTTAATATGTAGCTTCAGATTAAAAATTATGTGGTACAAGACATATATATATATATATATATATATATATATATATATATACATACATACACATATATATATATATACAAATATATATATATATATATATATATATATATATATGATGTTGTTGATTAGTGCGTGTCACGTGTGTGTGCGCACGTGCGTGTGTGTGTGTTAAGCCCCGGATCTTCTTCAGTCCTAAATCCGCCCCTGCCGGGGAGAGGACGGTCTGGAGCTCCCTAGTTGGGATGCTGCCCCCGCGACCCGGACCCGGATAAGCGGAGGAAGACGATTAACATTAAATAATCATGTAAAGTTGATTTCAATCAAAATTGACAAAAATAACATCAAACTAACATGAACTATAATCTAAAAAGGACTGTATAGAATATAAACACAATTTACTAAATGAGAAACTGTCTGGTTAATGCTGAAGCTCTGAAGTGTGTGTTTGTTTCGCTTTGCACCTTATTACCTTGTACCATAACTTGTGGCAGGGTTTGTGGAGGGTCTTTTTAACCCTTCACCCTAACACTTTAAAAACCATCTGAACCCTGGCGTTGTCTTCTGCTAAAGCCATGGGCGTGTAAGTTGCTCCTTACATAATGCAATGTCAAAATTATCCACTCCTCTTCGTGGAAGTGATGTCTCCACTCATGCTTTGGTATCCAAACTTCTGCATAATTCAGTGTGTTGAGTGGAAAATGTCCTGTCAAAATAAGACACAGTAGGGCATGTGACAACCCAGGCTGTCTGAGTAGAGTCCTTGCCTAGCTATAGGTGGCTCAGAATGTCAGTCAAGTGTAATTGGTTTAGCTATGCGAGTTCTGTCAGTCTTCCAACATTGTTACACAAAGAAAGCACTATGTAGTTTTTGTAGTGCAGTCAGGACCTGCTGGTGTAGATGCTGGTGTAACCCACTTTGCATAAATACCCATCAAAGGTGCTAGAGCAGGAGCCAAGTTCACCACATTTGTTGATAATTTATGGATTTCAATTTGTAAAGTGTGTGTATTTTCCTGGATTATCATCTTACAAAGTTCCAACTCACCCATAAGTGCCTCGAGCAATAAAGACTATCTCATACCAGCAATGGGTCTTTTTGCTTTCTGAGATCAAAGAGTTGAAATAATAGTTCATCAAAGAAATATCAAATGTCTTGATGGAAAAACTGTTTGATTTCATGTTTGCCAAGTGTGTTTTTTATGATTGTTTACCCACACATGGTTCTTAAGACTTTGTTATTTCAGTGATTAGATGTGGAATGTCTTCTGGGAATGGCTGGGAGTGAATGAAAAAAGACCAAAATAGTTCATTTAAAATAAATCTCAGAGTTAAATCAGAATAATATCTGAGAAGAAATGTGAGTGGGAAAAGTAAACAATTGGGGAAAAGTCTGATTAGTTTTCATGTTATAAAATGCTTAATGCCTCAGCTAATAAATAATTAGAGCCCAGAACATTTATATGATATCTTTGTCAAAGGTTTTCCCAGTGAGGTGTGCAGGAAGAGGATAAATAATAATAATAATAATAATAATAATAATAATAATAATAATAATAATGTAACGTCCAGCAATGGTCAGTTTTTAGGTACAGTTTGACCATTCAACATCTGGTCAAAAAGGAGACACAAGACTGCATGTGTTCCCTTTAAATTGGCCCTAATATATATATATGGTGTCAGGTTTCCGCCAAAACCCGTGCAAGCGTAGCCAAAACCCGTGCACGCGTATTGTCCACATCGCGCGTGCGAACGGGACTCGCGCGTGGAGGTTAGAACCTCATGAGTGAAAATACACATGGCGAGGAGGTCATTTGTACACTGAGAGGGAGCAAACTGTGTCTGTGAGTGCACAAGGATGTGCACAAGTGACAAACCTGCGTGCACGCGTTGGCCAACGAGCACACGGCAGAGGAAAACATGCGCGCAGCAGCCTCACTGCGCGTGTGGCAGCCTTTCTGCGCACTCGGTTTCTGATTCTGCTCGCTCGGCTGTTGGGAGTTTTGGTACTCTGGAGGCATGGAAGAATTAAAGTGCCAGAAACTGAGCAGTTGAACTTTCAATTTGAGAGCAGAATTTCATATCAAGAGACCATCTTTTTAATTTCAGAATACGATTTTATATTATTGCTCTCAAAACTTGAAATGCTTGCGCTCAAAATGTCTGCTCTCTTTCAAATTCACTCTGTTCTCCTTCAAATCTTTGTTTTTGCGCTCAGATTTAACCTTCTTACACTGGTATTGTCTTCTCATGTGACAACTTTTTCTCTGCACGGATCAAAACTCCTCCCACAAGTCTGTCCCCTGCTCTCACGGATCTTGTCTGTCTCGCTCAAAACTTAGAAGTACAATCTCCTAGCAACCGCTCAGCCAATAGAAAGACTTGTGGGACTGGGCGGGAACAAACCTCTTTGGGGTGCGCTCGTTTTTCGCTCTGTTGATTTTCCTGTGTGGCTGCCGCATCTGCGCACTAACAGCCTGGCTAATACCCGCTCTGATCTGGAGCGGAAGTTTCACCTGCACCAGCAAAATGGACCAGAACCAACAAGACGCTCAAGTAAGTTATTTTTCAAGGCTACTAGCTGCAGTTTATTCCATAAAATTGTTTTGTTATGCTACTTTTTACGACTCCTCGCATTTAATATTGCAACAGGGGCACATAGCTAGGTGGATTAGGTTATTCACTATAGCTACAACTTTCATAAAATGGCCTCACCAGATTTGAGTTTTACCCTAACATATCACTCGTCCCCGATGCTAGCTCTGGACCTAGTGTAGATGTTTTGTGTTTAGTATTCCCACCTTTGTTTTTAATAGTTAGCTCTTTGGACATTACAGTAGTTATTCGTTAGCGTTTACTCCATGAACATTGTTTCCTCATCTAACTGCTAACTATCAAAATGTGTTTCATCCATCGACATAAATATATCCCAATGTTTTTCTCGCGCTGTAATGAACAAATGGGTAATCAAAGTAAGAGAATGCTATTAAAAAGTAAAACTCGTTATAATTGAACGATGGAAATTTTTGACCAAAGCCGTAGGAGAAAACCGTTTTTGATAGGGAAACACATTTTGACACAACACCTGCCCTGACTGGCGCGTCAGCTAGCTTTCAATCTGTTGGTAGGTTTCTGAAAATATTAATGCTATGTTAAGTGAGTGTAATCCAGTAGTCATTTCCCCAACAAAAGAACAATTTCTATTTTTGCTCAATTCCTGCCTCCTGCCATTTCATTTTGCACTCGCATTATTAGGCCCGAGCAGCGAAAGCGCTGCGAAGGCCTCTTGTTTTTGCTCTGATTATTTTTTGTTATTCCGTGCCCCCTTTGAACAGCTTTTTGGGGACCTTAACATACCCCAAAACTCACAATATTTTGCAAACTTGTCAGGCCTGGTGAAAAATTTGATATTTTAAAGGTCACAAAAAAATCGCAAAGAAAATGGCTGAACAGCGCCCCCTACAAAGTGAAAAAAACCCCTCTCCATAAAGCTTAGTTTATCGTACAGTTATGAAATTTGGTACATTTATAGTACTAAACAGTCCGCACAGAAAAGTCTCTTGCATGCATGGTCAATATCAAACAGGAAGTCGGCCATTTTGGGTTGAAATGGCGATTTTTTGCCGTTTTGGCCCTTTTTAGGGTCCGTTTCTGATTGGATTGCTCGATCATTTTTTGCACGATCGTCTCAAAAATTGTGTAAAATTGCTCAGAAGGGATGGGCGAACAAAATGAGACAAAGATTCTGACTTTTCGTACATGTTGAAGGGGCGGGGCCAGGCCTCGAAGTTTGACTACTCGCCAAAAAATTTTAAATTGCTATAACTTCATAACTGAAAGGAATAGAATTACCAAACTTTCTGTGGTCATTCGTCATCCAGCCACAAAGTAAATTGAATGGTCGGATGATGACATCACACAAGCCCCGCCCCCTCAGGACCAAAAAGGTCAAGTTTTACTGTGAAAGGTCCCAAATTGCCCCATTTCACTTAATCACCACAAACTTGTAGCTGTTAACTCAAGACAAGTGGAGGTTGCTTGGCGTCACTTTATGGGAGTTTTCGGCAGAAGGTGGGGCTGTGGCGGCGCGGCGAAGTCAGGCGTACCGCCATGGCCTTACGTTTGCCTTCCATTTCGTCATTTCTAAAGATATCGTCACGAAACTTGTTGTGAGTGATCCTAGTCCGGCCCCTCAAAAGATCTGATGTGAACATCCGGTGGGCGTGGCCTATTTTCTGAAATAGCGCCCCCTAGGACCATTAAAACTGTCAGCCCCAAGCCATGCTTTGACTGAGGAGTACGAAATTTGGTACACTAATGTGGTGTCTCAGGACCTACAAAAAAGTCTCTTGGAGCCAAGTGCAAAGTTGCACAGGAAGTCGGCCATTTTGGTCCAAGTACGCAATTTAGTGGTTTTCGCACACGTTGTTTGGAGAGTGATGCTCCGTCGCCATTTTCACCAATCTCCTTCAAACTTCTGCCATCTGCTCTTAAGACATAGAGGAAAAAATTCAACCGTCGGATTTTTCAAAAGTTGAAAGGTGTGGGCGTGGCTAAGCCTCAAACTTTGACCTGTCGCCGCGCCACTCTTTTTTTCACAGCTCCCTACTGGACTCCTTTTACCCAATCAGCAGGAGTCTCTGGCAAATAGCAGTAGACAACTTGAGGTCACTTGGTCTCCAGTACTGGAAGGTTTCAAAAAAAGGCAGGGCTTTGGGAGCATGGCGAAAATCGCCATCACGCCATGGAAATACGTTTGCCTCTCATTTCTTCATTTATCGTGATATCATTACGAAACTTCTGGTGAGTGATCCTAGTCTGACCCCAAAGAGACATAGACAGCTGAAATATGTGGGCGTGGCCTAATTTCTGAAATAGCGCCCCCTAGGACCATTTAAACTAATAGCCCCAAGCCATGCTTTCACTGAGGATTACGAAATTTGGTACACTAATGTGGTGTCCCAGGACCTACAAAAAAGTCTCTTGGAGCCAAGCACAAAATTGCACAGGAAGTCGGCCATTTTGGTCCAAGTACGCGATTTAGTGGTTTTCGCACACGTTGTTTGGAGAGTGATGCTCCGTCGCCCTTTTCACCAATCGCCTTCAAACTTCTGCTATATACTCTTAAGGCATAGGGGAAAAAATTCAACCGTCGGATTTTTCAAAAGTTGAAAGGTGTGGGCGTGGCTAAGCCTCAAACTTTGACCTTTCGCCATTACTTGACTTAATAACTCCCATGTGCATGATCAGATCTTTTTCGAACTTTGTCTGTGTGATCATTGACCATATCTGTAAACAATGACAATGTGGACAGCTGACATCATCTAAGCCCCGCCCCCTGACTAAAGGAAGTTATTATTTTATGCTGAAATGCCCATATTTGTCCCCTCTAATTTAGTCAACATGACACCTAGGTCATGCACTGTCTTCATGATGCTGTAATGGCCATTCAAATCTGATAGCTTTCCAGAAATGGAGGGGCTTTGATGCCATGGCGAATTCTTGCGTATGCCGTAACCTTACAATTCAATTTAATGGTGAGCTCAGAGGGGATGCTTAGTCAGGGTGAGGTGCGGACTAGGAGGCCATTTGCTGTTTCCGGTGACGGGATGATTGACGTTTCTGTTCTGCCAGACATGCCCTGGTGCCCCGGGCTGCCGGCCAGGCCGGAGCGGCGCGGAGCTGCGAGGGCCGAACGACGCTGCTTGCAGCTTTAATTTCTTTTTGTAATCCTGTCAAACCTAGCCGCTGGTCTTTAAACATAATGAGCCTAACTTACTAATGCTGAGTCTGGGGTTACATAAGCAGTAACAAAACAAAAACAGTTTCTGTTTCTAAGTCTCAGCAATGAGTAAGGTTGTATTTCTGGTGTAAGCGAACTAACATTTGTTTTCTGTGAAATGCGCGAAATGTTGTATTACACAGTCTGTGGTACCATGATGCAGCACAATTCACTGTTGCATGTTAAACCACAGAAGATGTAGAGGAAAATGAATGTAATGGCTGAGGTGGAGGACCTGTAATGACACCAGAAAATAAGAAAATGCATAAAAGCTTTATTAAAAGTGTAGTCCTGAAATTCTCATGGTAATCCAGGGAAGCAGGTTGGTGCATGGTCAGGGAACAGGCGTGGGTCAGGGCCAGATAAACAGCAGGTTCCATCCCAGCTCCAACCAGAGAGTGATGTTGTTGTGTCCTTGGGCAAGACACTTAACCAACTTTACATGCTGTTGGTGGTCGGAGGGACCGGTGGTGCCAGTGTTCAGCAGGCCCGCCTCTGTCAGTGTGCCCCAGGGCAGCTGTAGCTACTATCTGGCTTATCACCACCATAAGCATGTGAAAAGTGTGTGGCTGTTGTGTAAAGTGCTTTGTAGGCCTTGGACTTGATAAATTTCAATAAATGTGCAAGCCAATTACAAATTTTTTTCAATTTGTAGGTGTTTCCCATTTGCTGTATAACCAAATACAACTTTTTCTGTGTATTTTGTTTTATTTCTTTAGACTGGTTCCATCAGAGAAGTTACGAGAAACCTTATGGATTTACTGAATGCTCATCTACAAGCAGAGGGCCCGCAACAAACACCAACTGTGCCACAGCGCACAACACCTTAACAGACTATCCCTCGGTCTACAGTTCATCAAGAAATGTCAAGGTAAGTGTAGAAATGTAAATATTTGACATCTGCATTGGTCTATTCAGTGGTTTGAAATTAAATTATTCCAATGATGCTTTATTATTCATCTTAGAAAGAGGCTTTCTGCAATTGACTGTATTTTTTTTTTTACACAGTGAAATTAAATTCTGAAATAATGTAAGCAGTGTAGTATAGGCTACAGCTAGGGCTGGGCAATATATAGATATTTTAAAATTATCAATATAATTTTAAACGAGAAACAAGATAACTTTGTATTGATATAACTAGTCAAGCCTCATAAGCTAGCAACTAGCTTGCTCCGTCTCTAAGCGATCATTTCATGTATTCTCACAAATCTGCTCAATCAGAAAACCTCTGGGTCAATGTTCTGCCCTAAACTTTGCATTTGGCTTCATGGTTTTTAATTATTTGGGGATATTCGTTCATGTTTCATCAAGCCTGTTCACCGTGGTTACCAACGGAGTTCTGTTTACCCCTCCCTCCCTCGTGTAATTGGGAAACCACTACAGAGAGCCGGAGTGGCCAAATTACCTCAAAACATGTTGTAATGGCTTCAACTGTAAACGTTAGGGTTAACATTTAATTTTGAAGGTGAGTTCAGCGCTAAAAGTTTTTCTGGTTCTGGTTTTTGATGCTTTGCTATGGTCGGGGCTCAGCCACGTGAGTTCGGAATAGAACGAGTGGTTTCTTGTTCACATGTGATTCCCAGGGCTTCTCAGGAATGCGGAAATCCCCGAGCATGTGGGCGGCGGTAAAGACGCGCGAAAGAAGTCTGCGGTGTCCGCCTATGCTAAACAATAATTCCTCATCAAACCGCTGCACCAACACACACTGCGCTTCTCTAATAATCTGCTCTCCTCTAATCCTTCCTACTTCAGCGCTGTAGTGTCCTCCGCTGCAGACGTGTCCTTATAACCGCTGCTACACACACACACTGCTGTCCTCCTCTGCTGCGGAGCGGGAGACAGCAGCTTAGTGCTTCATGTGGGCTAAACAGCAACCAGGATGAAAAGTAATCGCACATGCGGAAACCCCCCGGTGTTTGATCCAACTCCCCAATCGGAGATGGTAGGTGTGAGTTTCAGCTGCCAATCAGTCCATAGTGTCTGCTCGGCACCAGCCGGACCTCTGAGGGAAGTAGTCTGAAAAAAAAAGTCTCCTTAGAACGAAATACACACATGTGAGCCATATGTGAACAAAACATTTGGTTCCGAACGCATCCATGCCGACCCAGATGTGAAAGCAGCTTAAGTGAGAGAAAATACTAACATGGGATGACTGTGAGAATAAGGAGTAAAATAGTTTAGTTTTGAAAATAGTTTCCAGCTCAAAACAGGAGACTTGACAGGTGTGATCCTGGAATTGTGGATGAAGTCTGTCAGTGAAGCTCTTGGGATCACAGCTCCACCTCTCAGTTCAGACTCCACAGAGCTCCTAGTGTGTGAGTTCTTGTTCTCTTCTGTACCTTTAACGTTAACGCAGGAGAGTGTTTGCTGTTGTATTTCAGTTATAATGTGAACAACCACACAAAACATTAAATTTACTCAAAAAATCTGAATGGATTTTTAAGACCTGCAGTGTGAACGTAGCCTTAAGCCTGATTCATGCTTCTCCGTCTGCGTCAGTGCGGAGACACGCAACGTCCTTGCGTGCCTGCCGGAGAGCTCCGCAAGGATGTACGGAGTCAAGCTCTCTTTTCTAAACAGCCGTCAGTCGAGACGGACAACGCAAGCTTGTGATTGGTCAGGACGCCGCTGTTGTTTACAGCGCCGCCATTGCACCCTCAAAAGCATAAACAGAGCCGAGGATAACAAGCGGCAGACACGGAGCAGCTTGAAGAATACCTCGCAAAAAAACTCTAAAAACATGAACTTTTAGTTCCCCCGTGACTGGAGGAGTGAAAAGATATGCAGCAAGCGTTTTATTTGTGGACGGAAATGACAGGAAACTTGGGTTTAGAGGTGGCGAGTGACTTCGTCAGTAAACACAACAAGCAGGAGAAAACTACAACATGGTATGTGTTTTATGTTCTGTCCGTTTTATAATCGCCAATACGGGCCTGAAAAACAAAGGAGACCGCTAGCTAGGTGATAACTTCTCACGGGGACGCACAGTTAGTAACCTTTTTTAAATTAAAGCAACCGGAAGGCAGTACGTTCTTTATTCTGAAAATCTCGGGAGCTTCTCTCCATTTCCGCGTCCGATTTCCTGTCTTTCCTTCCCCAAAAATGTCGAACTTGACCCGTTTCAGAGGCGTCGCGCGTAGAAAATAGAACCGGCGCGTAAAGGCCGCGACATGCTGCTCCTGAGACGCGGCCGACTCGCGCTGCTGATGGCTCCAGTGGAAAAGGTTCTGTTGACCACAGCGGTTCCTATCAGCAGCTATGACGTGCTGCTGCAGTAACGTGCTGCTGACAGCTGCTGTGGAAAGCCGGGGTGAGAGCAAAACACTTCCGTCAATCCGTGCGTGTCTGTCCCTTGCGGAGCTGACGGAGAAGCATGAACCAGTCTTTAGACAGCATGTTTCTTTGTACATAAGCCGTACCATAGACATCATTGGCTGCTGGAGAGTAACTGCTTCACCGCCATATTGAGTAGGTTTCTAACTCCAAAACCCAATTTGAATCCAGTCATTGGAGCAACTATGCCTGTTTTTGTGCAGCTCACAGTTCCAACAACCAGCAGTTACATCTGCCTGTAAGCTTTGTTTGTTAATAAAGTTATATAAAAAAACTGTTACGTCACGATCTCCTTGCTTTCTACAGGAAGTTAAAAAAATTATTTCAATAAAGATTGAAACACAAACATGAAGCTAAATGAGGAGCTCTATGAACATACTTAACGCCGCTTTAAAAGATACTGAATGTGAAATATGGCATTTTTCTACTGCTGGCTGATGAAAGGGAGTCCGATGTGCTTGTTGTCATTTTGCAGGAGGTTGAACGATCTGACAAGGTAGTTAGCCCGTAAAAAAAATTGTGCTGCAACACTCCCAGTGCTTTTTTTGTGGCCTTTACGGCTATTCATTGGTAGGCTCCTCACAGAACACAAAAATGTAGCTTGTTTGTTATGATTTAGGTACGTACTGCCCCCTAGTGGCAGAAAACTACAGACTGTCGCTTAAAGAAATAGCATAAAATGGCCAAGGATGCACTTCAATATATATTCTCTTCTACGGCTTTAAAATTTTGAAATAATTATCTATCGATCGATTAGATTTTTTAAAATTAATATGCTTTTATTCATCAACCAGCCCTAAAACCTACTAAAGGTTAAACATTTTAAATTGCAAACTGTACTTAATTACGGTGATGCAAGTAAATGACAATTACACCCCTGCAAAATAGTAAAAGTTCTAAATCAAAACCATTTTGAATTTTTGTTATTCTTGTCCCTGCTATTTGTAAGTTTTTTTTTTATCTAATTTTGGCATATAGTAATCCTGCACAACAATGTGATAATTTGGTTTCTATTAAAATTTAGGAAATTTTGCTTATTTGTTGACAAATTGCAGCTCAATATAGAAACATCATCATTGTTCTCTTGTTGTAATGTCAGGATTTCCAAGAGCCAGACATCGACTGGGATGTTGCAACAGAGTACAGCCCAGATGTGGACGGTGCTGTTGTGGTCCCGGAGTTCGACAGTCCCCTCACTGAAGAGCAGCATGCTGACCTGCAGTTGCTACTGGCACAAAATTGGGAGCGTTCAAACACTAAGGAACTTTATCTATTGTGCAGAGAATATGTTAAGGCTGCTTTGTCAGATTAATGTGTACTTGAAATAAAAAATCAAGAGATCAGTTCCAGTGCTTTTTTAATGTTACAAAAGAAATACATAACATGTATTTGAAATGGCAATAAGCCTAACTTTATGGATTCATGTAACAATGTCGCTTTCTAGCTCCAAAACATCACATTATTTAACAAAACCATTTGTCTTTTTGGATTCAAAGTTAAATATGAACCATTATACAGTAACCTGAACCCAGAACAGTGGCCATCTTGTTTTCACTTAATGTCTGCTAAAATCAAATCTATCACAGACTGCCTGAGTAAGCTGACTTTCAAAGTCAGTGTATGTAGTAACGTGCCATGTAGGTAAGGTGATTAAGTGTGGTCCATACCGGGTGGTACTGTCATGATCAACATTTACAGTTCTCTTGTAAAATTCTCTTTCTGTGTCTGTTAGTGGCACATGTGCCTGGCCTGAAACCCACTGAAAAAAATCCTTGCACTGACAACTGCTTTGCTCCACAGCCATCTGATGGGCTCCCATCTTGGTCATCTGTTCCTGAAGGGTGAAAAAAAAATCAGTGTGTCACTAACATGATTGAGGTAATGATTACCTCTCTGTAATTAAGGTGTAATGGCTAAATCAGTTTCAAAACAAATATATTTATAATTTATTTAAAAAAAAATTTATTTGATGGGGGATTGGGTGAAACACAATGGTCTCTCTGACACTTCAAAATTTTCTCAATCAATCAATTTTTATTTATGTAACACCTTCCACTGTCTTTACAGGAGCCCAAGGCACTGAACATAACAATTTTAAAAAGAGCTAAGCATTATGAGCAGTAAAAGTGGAATAATCCTGCATGGTTCTGTGGCTACCTCCTTCTTCCAGGTTTTGCAAGAGGTCCTGCAAAAAGTTGATAATGTCCACTTCCTTTGTGTCTTACTGATCCATTGTCACTGTACTGAGGAGCCAGTGCCTCCACAACAAAGTCTGCATCCACCTACAAAAGACGTTTTTAAAAATACTGTGAATTAAAAAGATAAAACTGTTAGGGCTGCAGCTATCAAATAGGTAATGGACTATTCTTATGATTACTTAAGAACTCAAATAAATATAGGACATTTTTCAGTTATACAAATTTTACTTCTGCTTATCCTGCAGAGCTAAATTAATATAAGAAAATGAAGATGTATAACACTAAAAAATATGTAAAACTTCATTGCCATGATATTAGAATAAAAAATACATCTGATAGCTTCCTTAAAGAAAACTTAAAATTGCTGTCTGTAAAAAAAATGATAGCTGTAAAAAATAAATTGGGGCAAACAATGTTAAACAAACAGATTCTTGTACTCGTGAATCGATTTGATTTTTAGTATTTTTATAAGAATCGATTAGAACTGTTGGAACAAAAACAGCTTCAGCTTCTCTGCATTTCCTATATGTTTTTGTAATGGACATATTTTTTTTACAGAGGCCTAAAGAATTTGTACTTACCTGTTTAAGGTTCCCAGGAAGAAAGAGGGGCTGAAGTGCCTGGTGGTGATGTGGCAACAGCTCATCCAAACCCTACATGGCCAGTCCTTCTCTAAACTGACTTAGCATCGGTATGAGTCTCATCACCGAATGCAAACTGATGGCCCTAGTTAAAAGAATAATGAACTTGTAATAACTCAATTTTCAAAAATTGCATGACTTGTTTAATGCTACATTAACATAGCCTACTCAATGATGGCCCTTTTGCAATTGCTGTTAATTGGACCAGTGTAGCCACATGCTACAATGGCATCAGAAAGGACTGTCATTGCGTCTTCTTCGGCACGTTCGACCTTCAATCAGAAACACTTGTTAGTACAATTTACAGAAAATAAATTATTCTGTTTAATTTACCTCCTGAATCAGGTTCTGGGTTTCCATATCAGTCACCTCTGGCACATCTTCATTTGTTATTTGTCCATGACGCAAGAAATGGTAAGACCAAGTAGAAAAGAAATTCGGTGCTGGTCCTGCTTGAACCAAGCTGGTGGCAATGATCTCCCCACAGATCCTGAACACAAAACAAGCCAAGTTACACTGCAGAGCAGCATCATACTGTACATACCTGTATCTGTTTTCCTGGTAGTAAGAGATACTATATTTGGGGTTTTGCCTTTGCATGAAACTCCTTCAAATAAGTTCAACTCAAGGCCTCGCATAATTTCTATTGGGAAAAAAGATATGACAGTTTGCCATTTTCAACTATATTCAAAGTTGGTATGTTGACATTAGCAAGGAATACATACCAGTTAGGAACTCTCGGCGTAGTGCTCCTTCATCAATGCCGTGTTCTCCAATAAAGGAAACACTTAGCTGGTTTTTGGGGGAAGCCTGCTTCTGTCTGGCCCGCTGTTTCAGACCTCTCTGGTAAAGGTCGTCCCTTGTCACATTAATGTTAAAGGTTTTAGTGTTATCAACACTTTCTTGTAGGAACTTCAGGATGTCTGATAAGCTATTGACAACAACATTGTGTTTATTATTATTTATTTTAAAACCTACACATTAACACAAATGTTTGTAAAAATTCTAACCAGCTTAAGTGCTTGGAAGAGTCATCCACATCCAGTATGATGCTGTTCAGATGTGGAAACAAACAAAAAAAAAGATTAAACTCTCATAACATATTGTGTACGATGTGCATGGGTAAAAACATGCACCTGTCCTCTTCCTCCTTCACCACAAAAGCTGGCATGCAATTGTATAGACTCCTGAGTAAATTCTTATCACACAATGGACAGGAAACCTATTAAAGACATTTTTTAAATCAGTGACCAACAATCATTGTTAAGTAAACAATAATGATTAACATGAAATGTAATTAAAATATTCTGTATATTGCTAACGTGCATGTTTGAAGTTTGATTTAAAGGGATATTCCACCCTAAGTGAAAATTTGTCTACTGTCTAAATTGGCTCCTGCAAATGTGTTTCTTCTTACTTTTCATTTGCAGTCAACATGATTATTGAGCTCAACAGGAATAACTGGTATCATAATTTAGTAATTTGACAGTTTTGCACACAAAATGCTACTACCTCCCATTAAGTTACATGGTTTATTCTCATCTAAAGCAGACAGACTGCTGGCAGATAAGAATTACTGCGCTGGTTAAAACAATCCTTTTTCATTCACTTATCCAACTCTGGGGAATACGGCACTAGAAAACATTTTTGGATCTTTCCCTGACACATATCTAGCCCCTCATAACTCGATCCCCAGTTCCTGGATGAAACACCGGACATTTTATTCCATGTAGGACCCTAATCCACCTAGCTATGTGCCCCTGTTGCAATATTAAATGCGAGGAGTCGTAAAAAGTAGCATAACAAAACAATTTTATGGAATAAACTGCAGCTAGTAGCCTTGAAAAATAACTTACTTGAGCGTCTTCTTGGTTCTGGTCCATTTTGCTGGTGCAGGTGAAACTCCCGCTCCAGATCAGAGCGGGTATTAGCCAGGCTGTTAGTGCGCAGATGCGGCAGCCACACAGGAAAATCCACAGAGCGCAAAACGAGCGCACCCCAAAGAGGTTTGTTCCCGCCCAGCTCCACAAGTCTTTCTATTGGATGAGCGGTTGCTAGGAGATTGTACTTCTAAGTTTTGAGCGAGAGCAGACAAGATCCGTGAGAGCAGGGGACAGACTTGTGGGAGGAGTTTTGATCCGTGCAGAGAAAAAGTTGTCACATGAGAAGACAATACCAGTGTAAGAAGGTTAAATCTGAGCGCAAAAACAAAGATTTGAAGGAGAACAGAGTGAATTTGAAAGAGAGCAGACATTTTGAGCGCAAGCATTACAAGTTTTGAGAGCAATAATATAAAATCGTATTTTGAAATTAAAAAGATGGTCTCTTGATATGAAATTCTGCTCTCAAATTGAAAGTTCAACTGCTCAGTTTCTGGCACTTTAATTCTTCCACGCATCCAGAGTGCCAAAACTCCCAACAGCCGAGCGAGCAGAATCAGAAACCGAGCGCGCAGAAAGGCTGCCACACGAGCAGTGAGGCTGCCGCACCGAGTGCGCAGTGAGGCTGCTGCGCGCATGTTTTCCTCTGCTGTGTGCTCGTTGGCCAACGAGCGCACGCAGGTTTGTCACTTGTGCACATCCTTGTGCGCTCACAGACACAGTTTGCTCCCTCTCAGTGTACAAATGACCTCGCCATGTGTATTTTCACTCATGAGGTTCTAACCTCCACGCGTGAGTCCCGTTCGCACGCGCGGTGTGGACAATACGCGTGCACAGGTTTTGGCTACGCTTGCACGGGTTTTGGCGGAAACCTGACACCATATATATATATATATATATACAATTGGTGTGTGTGTGCGTGCGTGCGTGCGTGCGTGTGTGTGTGTGTGTGTGTGTGTGTGTACGTACGTGTGTGTGTGTACGTACGTGTGTGTGTGCAACTGCTACAGCCAACAGCTAGCTATCATGCTAGAAGGTTCTGGACCTCCTATGCCCTTCCTCTCTCAGAACCAGAAGGGTTTATTGCCATGTGTGAGAAATCATAAAACTAGGAAATTGCTGCGTACAAAAAATAAGAAATAGGCACAATAAAATAATAGTATAGAGGCAATAATTAGAGAAACGGCTAACATATACAAGACCATGTGACTGGAGTGGGCAGTCCTAGGTTTTGTTATTTATGAGTCCAACTGCAGAGGGGAAGAAACCGTTCTTGTGGCGAGAGGTTCTGGTCCGCATTAATCAGAGCCTCCAGATGGGAGCGAGTGGAAAAGTCTGTCCCCCTCATTCACACACAGTTGGTTTATTTAATAGATTGTATAAATGAGAAAGACAAACTCTTCCCGCCTTCCCCTCTAGGTTTCTGAAGAGCTGAACTGAAGCCAAACGGGAAGTTTCCACCAACACCATCTTGGCCGTGTCAGACGTCTCATCACTGGAAAAAACAAAAATGTACCCAAGAGTAGGAATATGATGCCGGGGCAGATGGTTGATACCCGTGACTCTGCTCTGCTACCCTCTGCCTTCTAAACTGGTTTTCGAGGGGAGAGTAACTTGGATTGGTGCAGCTCGGCTCCACCACCTTTTCCAAGAGCACGGTTTCGTATTTTCCTCTACTTTTTCTCAATTCTTATTCTGTGCCCCTTTGAGGTTTTTGGCAAGGCTGTGGCCACTGACTGGCTGGATGGAAGGTCCTCAGGAGGCCTGCCCTATTAAACCTAAATTATTGTTTTGTATCCAGGTTATAAATATGTATTTTTCTGCTGAGAAGTTGGCATTTTTGACATGGAAGTCAATGGGAAAGTGCTCCTTTCTGGTGTCAGCCCCTGGAGGATTGGGTTCACTTTGGGCAGGCAGAGCTTCCCCTTCGTTTTACATAAATAGAGCTGAAATCATACCTGTAGCTGCTGCAGTAAGATGTGTTTGTTCTCATTTTATGTGATCATAATGTAAAACAACGGGATATCTTATTTCCATGTCATGTAAATACCGCCTACTAGAGGTATTAAGTGTTTCCCCTTGGTAGACTCAAGACTCAAGCTGGAAAAAAAAAACTTAATGAGTAAATAAAATGGGGAAAAGGCCAAAAATGGACATTATGTACTGCAGTTGCCTTTACGGTTTGGTAGAAAGGTGCACATGGTACACATTGTAGTTTCATGTATCTGTAAATTTGATATTTGACTGTGGAACTGCTCATTTGGAGAGGTGAAATAAAGTTTTTTGTGGAATTGTAGTTTTGTTTTTCTAGCCCCACCTACATTTATTTCACCAGCCCTACTGGAAGCATCAGATTTAATAGAAAAACAAAACATGTTTTATCTATCAGGTTTGTGTTAGGTTAAATTATTCAATATGATTAAGTCTACTTGAGGTAAATTAGTCATCCAGTGTTTTAACTGACAAAATTAGCATGTCACAGGATTGCGTGTGGATTATAAACACACCTTAATTCCACATATAAGGATAAACTCATATCACAACATGCCCTATAGGTTATAAGTTGTAAGTCGCTTTGGATAAAAGCGTCTGCTAAATGAATAAAAACATAAAAAACATAAACTCAGGAGCCTTGCCTACATGTGTCCCTGAGAACTGGATAAATAAATAAATAAAGCTTTTTTGTTTACCTTTTAGAAAAGTAAAACTTTTAAAGCAAACCCCTAAAGCTGCATGTTCTGACTGCTGACTCTTACTGTAGGATGCCAGGAACAAGGCTGGTGTGCTAATGCTCAGCTAGGCTACAGAGGCTCAAAAGGCCTGCATTTCATTAGCAGCATCCCTCCCAGAACGATTTATCCATGATTTAATTGTTGTGGGATTTGGTGAGGCAGGAGTTAGGTAGCAGAAAAAATAAAAACAATGTTCACAAGGTAGCACCTTTCAGACACAGGTGTGTGTGTATGTGTGTGTGTGTGTGTGTGTGTGTGTGTGTGTGTGTGGGGGGGGGGGGGCTGCTCCGTTGCTCTGCACCAGGTCCTTTGGAGATGACTGCAGTCTGATGACTGATGGCATCTAATGGCCATAAAAGGCTCCAGCTCTACAGGCTGATTAGGAACGTTAGCAGAAGCAGCCTGCCAGCACCATGGTGACGACATCACTTCATTCAATCGGGCTTAATTTACTTTAATAAAGGAGACACTCCCCACATGATAACTTTATTCATGCTAAATTACTCAAGCTTAGCCCCCCAAATGGGCAGCAGCTAGGAGAGATGTGTTATCCCTGAAATAAGAAGGAGTTAGGGTTAGGCTAAATCTATAGCTGACTAATTCCTTAACAAGTTAGATCTTTCAGTTATAC